TGCACTGCTGTGTTTATTACCCTTTGGCTCCAAACAATGTCCCTCCAACCGACTGCAAGTGCTGAATATGTTAGAAAGAGCGGGGAGGGGAGGGAGGGCGGCTCTCATAAGCTCTTGATTGTTCCACATGCTGGTGGGCAGGAGAAGTATGGCTGGAATTAGGGGTAAGGGAGAAAGGGGTGTGAAGCAAAAATAGTACTTTGAGGGTCACATTCAACAAGTCGCGACTGCGAAAACTCTGTGTTGCTCCCAGGGCATAGCTGACGGCAAGGAAAAAGAAGGACAAGAAGTAGGCACTGTGAGTCGTTCTGTTCCCGGGGACCCTGAAGGACCGGAGATTGCAAAGGAGGACTCCCAGACAGCAGAGATAGAGGAGAATAATAATCCCATCATGAGTTTCTTTAAAACTCTGGTAAGCCGTTTTCGCCCTTTTTTCCCTCAATTCTATTGCTCAGAAATCTTATTAATTCTAAGAATAATGCATATTTAAATGTTGCGGTACTGAATGGATTACCATCATGATGCAGCAGGAAGTTGTAGGAGAACAGGGACAAGGCGTGCTTCGTGAGGGAGCTGGGTGGCATCAGGCTATGAGGGAGCCCTTAGAGCTGGGAACCACGGTATGAACAGGAGGCGCCCAGACCACGTAACATGAGCTGCATTGCAGTGGAATTCATCGCAATCGGATGTCTTACGGTCATTGATCATTAAAATAATTGGCAATACCTCCAATTGTGTTGTTGACCTATCAAAGCAGTTTCGCCAATCAAATGGCAAATAAAACACCGTAGAAATCACTTTCTATCTTGTTGCATCTAAGTCTGCCAGTTTAATTGGATGAGGGCAGAGACTATGTCTTTGCATGGCTTGTTTATCTCTGACCGCCCCCAACCCCGGGGCAGAGCCCATGGCCTGGCACATGTCAGCCACTCAAAGAAAAAAAAAAAAACCTTGTGATGAATGAATGCATAATTAAATAGATAGCCTAAAATATGTTTGGGCTATTCCCAAATATCAAGACTAACTTCAGAAGATAAAACAATAGAAGTCAACAGAATGTGCCGCAAACACCAAAGGGTTATGCCTGTGTTTGGTGTAATGACAGAATTTATGGGAAGTTTGTGGCCTTCCAGGAGACAATTTTGAATGTGGTCAAACTCGGCGAATGTGTAAGATCGGAGGCATTTCATTATAAGATATTAATGTATTAACTTTGTTATCACCCGGAGGCCCTTGGGTTTCTACTGAACTGAAAGTACTTCTCAGTTCATTCTTTACCTGTATGATGAACTAGAACACCCCAAAGAATTATATATCTAATGAAATAAAAATTACCCTAAAGAGCCATGATTTTTAATGTTTGGTTTTCTCAAACTTTTAAGGTTTCGCCTAACAAAGCTGAAACAAAAAAAGATCCAGAAGACACGGTAGGTGTTTTGAAGTGTGTGTATGTCTGGGTTTGTGCATAGAATTGGATTTGGATTTGCATCTGCTTGTTTGTTTTTGAATATATACATTATGTATAAATA